AAGTATGGCAGTGGCCTGCTTTTGATTTTTTATCATGAAAATTCTAAGATACAGTTTAAAGGGACCATGAAGAGACTCTCTCAATTTTTTTTCACAAAGACACCAAAACAGATTGTTGGCAGACACATGTCATTATCCACAGATCTCTAGTATGCTAGCGATGACAGGGATAAAGCTATGAAAAACAACTGCTGCTTTTCTAATGGAAAAAAAACTCTTCACACTTGACTATCAAGTAAACTATACATTTTTTTATTTCTCCAGTTAAATTATCTATGTAGTACTGAAACAAAGCAGACACCAGAGAAAGGGCAATGTATGTGTCTTCCATTAAGGAAAACTGGTAAACAACAGCTCAGTATACCACTTTTAGTGAACATTACCACATCTGCTGACAACTGTGAGCTGTTAGCTCCTGCCCACACTCCATAGAACTGGTATGACTGAAAAACACAAGCAGCAGAATATTTCAGATGGCTGCTGAATGGTGTTAACTCTTTCATCAACAAATATAGCTCAAATTTGAAACAAAATTTTGAAAATAAAAATCAAAATATTAGGCATATACAATACTGAAAAACCCTACAGATAAAAAAGAAAATAAAAAAAAATCCCACCTTGTCCCTCTGCAGCTGAAACTTAGGTCTATTTTCAGCTGTTAGTTTCAGACTTCTTTTTAAGCACCTGTTAAGCTACAGAAAGCTAAGGACCCTCTTCAGAAGGACCCTGCCCTCTGTTTCTCCGGTGTTCTCACCTAGCAGTAACAACAGATTCATTTAACCACATTTTGCCTTTCCTTTTTCGTTACTGTCACTCCTGCCTTTTTGAGAAACATGTTTGTACTTGGGGCCTTATAACTGCACCCAAAATTTCAAAGATTATCACAGGAGTCCTCTTATGGGTCTATTAATTTGGGGCCTTCCTTTTGTCACACCCTTCCTTTAGCTCCTTGGTGTCTGTGAAATTGTTAGTTAAGTCTTCTCAAATCTTTTGAAAGAGAGATGTGTCAAGCAGTGAAAAGAGCTCTGAAGTATTTATTCTTCTGCTCCTGTTTACCTTTTCTTTTCAGAGTAAGTCAACAGAATTGTGATTATAAGCACACAACATTTTCCAAAACAAACAGCTTATGAATTTTTTGGCGCTGCAGAGCAGGTCTGTCTTCTAATTCCTCCCACTCAAAACAGCATGACTTGCAACACTGATCTGTTCGTGGCCTCATAAATTTACATGGCAGCATTTACAGAAAACTTTTGACAGTCTCACAATTTCAGTTTCTTGTGGTGTTTCAGTACATCACACAACATATCCCATGATATATTAATAATATCAGTGTGGGTGTAGTTAATCCCTCTTGTCAGATTTAGAGGATGTCTAGATCTTCCCCTCGTCACAGGTGAAGAAGTACAATTACCCCATTTCCCACCTCATGATTTCACAGTGTCTGGAGATAACAAAAGTTCAAGTAAAAGTTAGACACCACACAGGAAACATCCTTCCTTAAATAACGGTCTTGATTTCTCCTAGTCCAAGTTAAACCACCAAATCATATCCAATAAAAATTGCAATTACATACTATACTACTTGGAAAAGATATAACAGACTCACAGGCACTAACAGTAAAACAGATTTCTGACTAAATGGGATAACATAGCAGACAAGCTTGACTCCTCTTCTTTGGATCAGTTACAAAATTAGTGAAAAATTCAGTGTTATCATTTCCATAGGGAAATAAGCAACTCTGTTAGAATATACAAAGATAAACCAAGCAGGCTTGAATTATGAATCCTGTCAAGTTTAGCTTGAAAAACTAAAAGCAGATTGATAGGAAGCTACAAGGCACTTTCATTTGCTAGCAGGTGGGGTAACTATGTGATACCACAGAAGTCCCTTGTTGATTTGGCATAATATAGCTTTTATGTTTGTTCTTAAAGAAAAAAACAAACACCACACTGAAATCTAGAGATGATGCCAAACTGAAGAACTGTCATACACCAAGGGCATGAAAATAACAAGAAAAACCTTGTAAATACTGGCAAGATATAAAATAAGATTTAACTGGCTAAACAGCAGTTTGTACATATTGAGAAAAATAAAACAAATCATCAGAACATAATCCATGAATACAAAGCAGATATTCAGAAAAGGCAGCAAACATATACTGAAATGAGATTGAAACATCTGTATCACTTATTCTAGCCCCCTTGTATCTGCAAAAGTAAGCTAAACGTGGAAAAATGCTGAAGGCAGGCAATAAATTAGGTGAGCCTTAAAAATAATCTGTACTATGTGTATGTACAGCACCCATCAATAATAGATTTTTGTTCTAGAACAGCTACTGGAAAGGAAGCCATAATTTTAGTGACATATTCCTTAGCATCAATTTAATTCCTTACTATCAAAGTCAGGTTAGATACCTCATTCCCTGTCCACCTGAAATTCCTGTCAAACAATTTTAGGAAGTGCAAGGAATGCAGGATTAGTTCAAAAGAAATTCCAAGTCATGCACCACACCATGGACAAAAAACGGAGCATATGAGAAAACACACACAGATACCTTGTACTTCACTATCAAAAACAGGTAATGAAATGGAGGCAGGGGGATATCAAATAACCAGACACCTTAATAAACTGCCCTACAGAGAAAGAATTCAAACGAAAACAACCTAAAACCCAAAGGGTTCAGGCTTCCCAACCTACAATAAATATAGTAACGACCCACAAACATTTCCAGTTTACAAAGAAACTAAAGGAGACTTCAAATCTCCTGTGAGAAAAATGAGATGGAACTGTAGAAAGAAAAAACAAAATAAAGTAATGCTATATTATGTTTTGGGAAGGTTGTCTCTGGAGCCTGCTAGTGCTAATAGCATGTAAACAGCAGCCTTGGCTATAGTAGGTATAATAACTTAATAACAACATACTGTTACTAGCTTTTCCGCTGGATTGATATTCATTGTGGTCACTGTGAGTGTAATTAACATTCACTGATAAAATCCATTAGATTAGGAATTACTATCATGACGAGTTATAACAGGGTAAACAAAGACGCCTGAGAATATCCTTTTTTTCCATTTTTTTATTCTTCTTTTATATGTCTATGATTCTTGCAATGGAATTGCTCCTTAACGTGCACTGACAGGGCTTGAAAGCAGCTATATCCATGCTCATTCTACGCAAAGGAAAAGTTCCCACCTCTTTTTGCAAGCTACTTCAAGCAGTACATCACCTACCACATACAACATCTACAATTTGCTCTTAGACAGAGAGTGTCTTCCCTCATGTGTCTTTCCTTGGCTGTTGACACAGTAACTGACAGTCCTCATTCTTGAAGTCAGTGAAAACTGACTGGCAGTAGGCCACCAGTCCCTTTAGTTTCCCACGTACTTCAGTTCTTTTGTAATTTTCCACTTTTCAAAAGTCACTCTGGACTTAATGTTGAAAGAATACTAATTTCTAACATAGCGTCACATAAAGTTTAAAAAAAAATCAGCAAAGAAATAGGAAAATGTTTCAGTTCTATATTTTATAATAGTGTCTTCTGAACAATTCAGATTGTTCCACAATTCTGCTTTCAACATTCCCTACCAGTTTTCTGAGGAGCTTTCTAATTCCCCCAGGACAACTCCCCAGACCAGGCAGATCTGTGCTCACACAACTGCTGGTCAGTAGAGGTAGCCATGTCCTTTGGTACTACAAAGATGGCAAGTGGTCCTGGTCAGGCTAAGCAAGTGTAGTATGTCCTCTGTAGACCACAGAAAAGAACAAAACTAAATCTCTGCAGACCTCCACCCAGACCAAACAGCTGAGACCAGAATTTCTTGGAGTAGAAAGACAGATTTCCTGTCCCATGAGAGTTTAGGATTTAGACACTGTCATTCAGATGTATTTATACAAACTTATCTTTCAGTGTGAGTTAACTATAGCAAAAGATGATTTTGAATAAAAATAAGCATGCGAGAAAATTCTTCACAAAATTATCTTCCAGCTTTGCTTTGAGGTATTAAGTTGAATGCCCACTTTTCCATTGAATCACAAAGATATGCTACAGCTTGGCTTGATACATTCAGTTTCTAATTTATCATAGCTCTAAACAGGAATTAATAGTGCTAATTAAAATCCCATTAAGTCATTCAATAGCTATTTTAACTTTATCCAAGTAAATAAATGAAATTTCTGTTATCTTAACATTAGAAATCAGAATACATATACAAATTAAACTTACTTTGACCTTTTAATGGCACTGAGACTAACATCCAGTTTTCATACCAATAGCTCAGATGATGCAATTTTGCACTGCAAGCAGGAAAACAAATGAACACAAAACCTCCAGTGATCTAAATTAGCACATTTCTGGTTGACTGAAAATCAGAAAGTGCCAGTTTTGATCCTAATACTATAGATGCATCCACTTTAGGAAGGAACACTGTTCCCTCGAGGAGTAATGTGAATATAAAGAATACAAAGTCTTGAAACATCTAGTTTTACACATGACAGAATTACACAGAGAAAGTGGTATGTGCTGTTGAACGCAGGTCAATGCATGACTGTTAAGGTGCTGAAGAGCAAATGGTAGAGATAAGGCTATTTAAGGAGATTAAAGCTATCCAAAGAATCTGTGGAAATAATTTCAGCCTTTCCAAAATAGTCCTGTGCTGTCCCTGTTTATTTTTTGAGGATCTGACCCTTCTAAATGGCTTTATTCTCAAATTTGCATATACAGTTATCAGGAAAAACAACAAGATTTTACTTTTATCTATTAAAATACCTAGTTAGTAATTTACCATGATTTTACTTTTAAATATTGCACTGTAGTGACCAGTAAAAATTAAGTTTACTATTTTGCAAGTCAGCAAAAACATGTGCTGGGTTTGAAGATATCTCCGGATAAAACACAGCCTAAGCAAGAAATATTAATCTGCTAATTCTATCTGTACACGTATTATGTTAAATGAAATTAAGCAGATAAGTAAACAGATGAAAGAAAAGAGGTTTCTAGATACCGTGACTGTTGCATCGTGATGTTTCCACAAGTCGACTGTTTTGATCATAGCATGCCATGGCCTGGTAACGATAGCCTTGTCCACATTCCTTAACGTCTCCTTGTACCTTCATTCCCAGCAATACTTCCATCTTACCCTCTGGTAAGATACAGTCTGACCAGTTTCCCACAGGTTGAGCACTGTACTTGTCACATGGGCAAAACTGGTTCTCAATCAGAGGATACAACTGAGAATTTTTGCATTTATCCCTTTTCTTACTTTTTCCTAGAAAGAAGAAATAATTATTGTAGAAAGTTTGTATCGGTTTACATCTTCCCAAAAATTTAATTTAGACTTCTGTAACAAGTGTTTGCAATCAAATACATATGCCTAAAACTAGTTACATTACTCTTTATTCATTTAGGTTAATAACTTGAATTTCTAAAGTAATGGATGCCTACAATTTGCACAAAGGCAACATCTTTTAAAATAAAGCTACATATTTATATTTAATTTGCATAAAAGTGCTTGGGGACTACAGTTTGAAAAAGTTAGCAAATAAATAAATATACCCTTTTTCTCCTATTTCATCAGCAGTGTGCAGTCCAATTAAAAAAAATCATCTCTGGATAAAATTTTCCCATGTTGAAGGAAACTGCAGAAGGAAGTAACATCCATCCTTACTACAGTAGTACCTTCTTTCAGAAGATCAAAATACTTTAATTTCATCACCTATTAATACGTTTGTTAATAATTACCATTCTTCCCCTCCAATAGAATAACATTCTGTGAATTTGTTTCTTTTCAAATCTCTTTTTGTTTTCCTTCCGCAACTGGAGCATAGCCATGCACTCACCTTCCACTTCCCATTAAACTTATTTTTAAACTTCTCTTTGGTAAAGTTTTTTTGGTTTTCCTTTCCATACTAGACAGCTCATATACATTAATGTAGAAGTGTTTGCAAAAGTAGTTTTAAAAATGCTTAGATATTACTGTAAATTAATATTCTGACGTATTTTCCTTGCTATTCAAAACAAGGCACTGGATACAACTTTGCAGCACCCTTAGTGCTTGTATTTTCTACTGCCTTCATTTAGAATAGAAAAAAGGTACCTGAAGAAAAGTTTAACTTTCTTTTGACAACAGAACTTCATACTAAAAATACGCTTCTCCTCCTCCTCCTCATTTTCACCATAAATTATCATGAATTCACTCCAAGTCAGCTTTACATGTTAGCCTGGATAACACATTTCCACAGAGAATACACCAAGCACATATCACAGCAAGTTTGAAGGGGGAACTTAACTCAGAACAAGGAAGTATCTCAAAGTGTTAATAGTGTGGTAAAAGAATCTGTTCTTGCTTGCTTTGTTTTTTTTTTTTCAAAAAAAAGAAGTTAGTCAGGGTTTCTTTTTCCCTTGTGGAAGCAAACCTGCCATAAAGTTCACTGGAGTTATAAGACAGTCACAGTAAGCCTTCTTGAAGATCATGAATTATTCATTGTCCACAGGTCTTCTGACTTACAGCAGGATGGAGCGGGGGATAGGGTTTGGATCCTATCACATTCGTTCTGAGGCTGCTGAGGCTGCTAATGGGCACCCCCGTTAGCTAGTTTTCCTCCACCACAGACAATACAGACTAATTGGCAAATAGTGCTATGACAGAGGCCAAGTCTCACTCTTGAGGTTTCAGCTGTAATTTAGAAGCAGAGCATGTTTTTTCCTCTTCATTTCATGCAGAAGAAATAAAAAAGAAAAAACAGAGTAAAAAGAATTTGAAGAAAAAAATGTTTAAAAGTGGAAGGGTGTCCATCATGTGGAACACGGAAAAGTTTGTGGCAAGTGGTTGGACATCATTGGCAAAACTTTTTATTCTGTTAAGTAAAACCTCAAGAGGTTTCAAGGGATACAAAATAAGAGCATTCTTATTTGTGTTAAGGAATAACGCAGAACATTAAGCAACGTATTGCCTCATATGGTGATCTGAGCTGCCGCCAATGGAAGAACGAAGAACGCAAAGAACTTGGAGAGCAAACATTCAGCCAGGGAAAGGGCTGGTTTAATCATAAATCTGACATTCAAGATTGCAGCTAAGTAGTTCAAAAGAGGTAAACCAAAGCTTAAGGCTGAAAACAATGATGTACAGCAAGAGGCTGAAAAGTACTCAGCTGCCATAGTAATTCTAAATGCATCAAAACGACATCCAAGAGGGAAGTCCTGGTGTAGCCAAGACCAGAAGTAGGAAGAGGAATGTAAGTGGGTTAACACTTCATCCTATTAAGGAGAGATGAATGTTGATTGGTCTGTCACCAATTTAAAAAAATAAAAATAAAAAAATCCACTTTCATTAGATTTTCTATTAAAGGTGTTCTACTGGAAGCTCCAGGGAAATTTCAACAAGATTTTTTTTCTCAGTTACAGTTCAGTGTAAAAACACCAAACCCAAAAACATCACACCCAATCAATCTGATGAGAATTCAATATGGTTAGACAATTCTGTCAAGATACAACTTCTGCATGGAATCATGGCTATTGAGGCATCAAAACAAATTGCAGACCTGCTCCCTAAACTCTTAGCTGAAAAAACACACATAAAAAAAGAAAATGCAAATAACTAATAGGTTCTGTGGCCACTCTGGTTTTCATCATCGGTTTTCCAAATCTAGTTTCTTGTCTCTGTAGAATTAAACTTCCTTAACCTTATTTGGGACTGAAAGTGATTTGAGAGAGAAGAGAAGACATTTCCTGTCCCAGGACTTCTCCGAGTGCCTCACACTACCTACATCATGTTGAAGACCCCAAGGTCTTTGGCTTTTTATACCATTAAGCCAATCAGTTACCATTTGTGAGTTGCACGCTTTTCAAAATTTACAAAATTGTCCAACATTCACCTGAAAACTATCAGTAAAATAAGCTTTAAGCCAAAAAAAAAAAGCTTTTGAAAAACTATTTTCATATTTTAAGCTGTAACTCAGAGAAATTGCTTGAGAGTGTAACCTCAAAGATCTGTCTCTTATATTTGTTAAATGCTTAGCACAAATATATAATCACAGGGATATAATTCTGTATAAATGATAAAACATGAACCAGCAACCTTCCTGATCTCTTCGTGCACAGAAGCAGGGTGCAGAATCAGGGTTTGGAATAAAAACGGTATGAAGACCTTTTAAATAGCAATCAATTGTGCCCCATCTGGTGAAAAGATAAGACAAGGCTCAACAAAAATGCAGGTAAAGATTTTTTAATTTTATTTCCTCAAGCTGGATCAGATTGTTGGTTAATTATACTGCTTTACATTTTTCACCTCCCTGGAATTACAGACAATGCTGACTTGGCTGTCAGGAAAAGAAATGGTCTGCTTTGCAGTTCACTATGTACGCTTCATTTAGAAGAAACCCTGGCCTCCCATGTTCCCCCATATTCTCTCTAGCCACTTCCCCATGATCAAGAGTCTCAGACATATGGCAGGAGTTTGTTCTCCTGAGGAGTTTTTTTTTTGCTCCACCAACAGTATATACAGCATGACAGTGACAATGGGGCTGCTCTCTCTCATGATGACAAATGTTGTTTGCTTGTCATAAGGGAGCCTCAGAACAACACAGATTTTAATCAAACCAGTAGCAATAATTAATAAAAGATACATTATTTTTCTGGTTACTCTTACCGACAAGAGTGCGTTTTCTTGTCCTGACTCCTCCACAATCTCCATTACAGGAAGAAAACTTCGACCAGTTTGTAAACTGACAGTCATCTTGGCAGGGAATCTGGCACATCTGTGTTAAGGATGGTAATGGGCCAGCGTACTTAAGGCACTCACTGATGTCAGCCTGTCCTCCGTCTTGTCTGCGACAAGTAATTGCTGGAAGCAAAAAGGGACGGAGTTTAATTCAGCATTTTTTTCATGAATGCCTCTATTCAATTTAGTAAGTCTACAATATTCTACCACAAAACCACATTGAAAGCCAAGAATAGCTATACGGCAATCTAATATTTGCAATTAGTTATACCTTGAATGAATACACTTGACATTTCTGACTTTTTTGAGATTACTTATAAAATTACTATTTATCAGGACTTACCAGAAAAAAATCTTACAGACAACTATAAATATTATAAAGGTTGCACCATGTTATCCACACCTGTCATCCCACTTTTCACACTATTGTTTTTCCTACAGATACAGCCTATAACTCAGACATTAAAAAACTTGCAATACCATTTTAAGCAGTTGAATAGTTTACAAGCTACAAAGTTTTATCAGCAGCATGTATTTTAGAAAAGGGGACAGACATAAAATTTAGAAACATATTTGAGTTCTGGATACCACTTAACTACTCACAACAGTATTGCTGCCTGATGTTCTTTGGCAATTTTTAGTCTTGAAAAAAGGTTGAAGGACAAGGCATGTTGCTACAGGTGGAGTATCAGCCAACAGGGGTACAACTTTTTATAACAGGATAGCCATGTCTTGAATAAAAGCTTCTTACTTATAAGACAAAAAAAAGTTTCTTAAGAAAACTTCAGGTGGCACAAAAGGAAGCAGTTGAAACATAAGGTTTACAAAGAATAGGGCTATTTCATTAATACAGTCTTTAACAATGCTCCATTATTGTTTCTGATGGATTTTCTTTTAACATGGTTGCTTATCTATTATTCTAACCTAAGCCTCAGTAAATCTAACTATTTCCTTGCCCAAAACAACATAAAACTTATTATGCAGTAACAAGATGGGAAACTTTTAGTTGTTTGTTTACACAATAGAATTATATTTATGCTTCCTAGCATCTGACAGCACACAGTAGATGCAGTATCTCATAATGACTGTGAAAGTAATTTGGGTCACCAATTGTTGCAGTAACATTGCATCCGAACACAATATATCATTCTGAATACATATGAGGGAATATCATGTTTTATATTACACTCCACTCCATAATTTAAAAATAGCACTGTGCTTGTATTGACAATAATTGTTTTATTGGTATGCGAATGGAAAAAAAATGTAAATTATAGTAACCGAACTATTATGGCATGATCAACTTCAACTGTTGGAGAAAAATGAGGTTTGAATGTAAAGTGTCAAAATAAAACACAAAACTGGCTGTGAGTGACTATTTCCTCCCGAAGGAAAAAGAAAGAATAGTGGAGGAAACTTTTTTTTCTTAGATTGCTGTAAGGTAACTGCAAAGGTTTAGCGAGCTATGATTTCTTAAAAAAGCTTTTTTGTCTGGCAGTTCTAAACTAAATTCTACCTCATGATGACTGTTGGAAGCTGAACTTGGTGACCCGCATGGTCCATTCCAAGCCTGTGTGCCTACTAAAACATACCCAAAGGTCCCAAGTGAATAGTTTTTGCCACGCATCTCTAGTAAAACATTGTGAAAGGGAGGGGGGTTTGTTTTCCCAGAGACACTAAGCAAACAACTTCCCTGATCCTTGACTGCCCTTTGGAGCAGGGCTGCCCGCACTGTTTGTAATAGGCTCAGCACTGCATTAAGTTGTGCTTACTGGGGGACTGACCAGCTGTACATTGTCTAATACAATTCTGTCAAATCCTACTATTATTGGTCTAGTTTACATGAGGAAACCCTTTTTTCTTCAGATATAATTATAGTGATTCAATGAGCAAAATCAAGTATCTAAACATTAAAAATCTGTACAACAACTATTTTAAGGATGTGTTAACTGTACCTACTGTAGGATTTCCCAAATTACACAAATATTTTGGAAAAACACAAGACAAACCAGTATCTTCCAATACAAGTCTAGGCTATAGTTCTGGATTCTTGTGAGATACTCTCCTCTGCTAATAACACACATCGGTTTCCCCGAGGTAAAAAACACAGCTCAGACTAGTTCTACCACGTGGAAATTCAGAGGTCAAACCTAAACCCTCTGTCTTGACTTTGAGCTTGGCATGTGCATGCATCAGCAAATCTAATTCCATTATCTTCACTGCGTTCTCAGGGAGATATAGGCCACCACTTTTAGCAATGAAAACTATACCTAGCCAAGGGCTAAAAGATGGTCCACTGACTAACCCAATCACTTTTAATAACCTTCTTCAAAACTTTAATACCCATTTTAGATACTGCCTCTCCATCTAGTCCTTTGATAGGCCATAAACATTGCCCATTGAAGAACACTCTGTCTTTCTAGCTAAATTGAGTTTTTCTAAAGCCAACATTCATTCCCTCACCTTTCTTGGTTATAAAATATTACTCCACAGGCAGATAGCCACTCTGTCATAAATTTTTTCAGATTCATATTAGTGCATCTAATTTACATCAAGCAGATCCAGGTGAGAAGCTTCCCTGAGGATTAACACTTTGGTTTTTTTCCAGATTAACTGTCAGTTGTACTGTAGCAATCAAAGCAGGAAAACTCTTCATTCTTGAGACCTAAATATTTCACCTTAATAACAACACAAATTAGAAGACAGCTTCGCATACTAAATCAGTTCCTGAATCTTAATTTTCACAGTGCCTGTCTGTAACTATTCATGTTACTTCTAGTTGACAAGACCTGGATGATCTACTTTATACACCATTTTCCTATTGTTATTCTACAGATTCAAGTATCAATTTGAAAGGTTTATATTCCTTGTGACTGTTGAAGAGTGGGTATTTTTCCATTACTTAAAGCAGGAATTTTGACAACTGTATACATTCCATTAATACATTATTTTGGCCAGATAAACATCTTGACATCTGAAATGCTCTTAATGTTAGTGGAGTTACTTTTTCCACTCACAACCTAATTTGGGCAAACTCATCCCCTGCCTTTTTGATCAAACCCATGGTTCTTTAATTATATTCTGTAAGAGTTGCTGAGATCAATGATTAACTCACTATACAGAGAAGTGTCTTTAACTACTATAAAGCTATGCAGTGCCAGACAAATTATTTTGCCTATACAGCCACGTTATATTTACTACAGACATTAGCAGTAAGTGTAAAGAGCATGGTTCTTCTATTACCGAATTAAGCCCAAGTAATTGTTAAGTGAAAACATAAAACAGAAGTACGGCTAACAGAAAAAACAAATTTAACAGGGAAACCATTAACTTACAAAATTGTTTTGGTATTTAACAATTATTATCTCCCAGAAGAAAGGTGTGAAATAAATGGCAGCCTAAATTTTCTAGACAAGGGACTTTGATGTAATTAAAATGTTATCTGATAGCATTGTTTAAATTGACATGGTTTAGTGGTGGACTCGGCAGTACTAGGTTAACAGTTGGACTTGACGATCTTAAAGGTCTTTTCCAACCTAAAGGATTCTATGATTCTATGATTGTTTCCACCAAGCCACAGGGAACTACAGGCTAATATATTTGTTGTTGGCACAACAAAACACTAAGACTGTATTTTAACAAGCCTTGTTATGTGTGGGTTTGTATAAAAACCTTGCCAGTGTTACCATCACTAGTATATTTCACTGAGATTTCACTGACATGTGAGATTCAGTGATCCCTACACCTAAAAATTATTCTACAAATGAACATGCTCTATGTCCTTTGTTTTACAACACGCTTGTGATACTACTTTTTCAATTAAGTATGTTTAAAAACAAAAATATTCTGTTTCATTTCTCGAAAGGTAAGAATTATTTCAGCACACTAACTTCTCTTACACCCACTAAATTTTCTTGCACCTACTATCAATACTGCCTAGGCTATGATTTCCTCTATGTTTATTTCTTTTTCTGTGGGACATGGCAGATTAGACGGTGCATGACGAAATGCTTCTATCACAAAGTATCTTAAGCAGGAGTACACGCCAATAATATTGTGAAAATACAAGTCTGAGCATTGTTTATGTGCCAAAGAGAATAACAATGTGTTTCCACCAAATAAAGCTGTCTGGAGATTCTGGTTTTTGTTTTGTCAATAAAAAAATTAATTTCTCATGTAAGTACTACTGTTGAGCACTGTTGTCCAAATTCCTACTTCAGTACAAAACCTGAAGTTGACTGTTGTCATTTGCAGTGACTAAAATACGAACCAGGCAATAGAGCACTCTCATCTGTTAAGTCTCAATGATGTTTAAACAGTAGTTTATAGCTCCATGAAGGTGCAGCACTCCTTCATTATTTTGTCTCCTTTCCTATGCTTTCAATAAGGGCATGAAATTCCCCTGCTGCCATAAGCGATGCCCAGAAAGGGAGGCTGCTGTCCCTGCTTAGTCACAGTGAGAGGAAAGGGCCTTTGACCACCAGTTCTGCCTCCAAGCCCCGCTGCGGCTCAGACAAGCCTGCAAGGCCTCGTGTGCTCACGGCCAATCTGGGAAGCTTCCTCCGATTCTCCCGCTCCACTGTCTTTCAAATTACTCTACATACACCCTGCGAATGAAGAATAGCAAGACCTTGAGATTAGCTTTTTAATAACGGCCAATACTCAGCAACATTAAGCACAGCTCTTCAGATATTTTCTCTTGACAGCCAGGTTACTTAAACTTCTTCTTAAATTTTTGCGAATAACTGTCCTCTTGCTATTACAGAATACAGATTTCACAATTTTCATCCCATACTGCCTACAAAACTCTGAGGAAAATTTAAGGTGGCAAGGACTGCAGGATGTGCATCCTTTTGCAAACCTCTATTCGGTCACTGGGATAGCCCTTACCATGTGCATCAATCCATATACATCATGATGTGATTAAGCTATTGCAGTTTGGGAACTTGAGCTTCTCATCTGCTACATGTCCTCTTCACTAGCATTGCGATGCAGTCCAACAAGCCCTACTTAAAGTTACTGGCAAAACAAGCCTTTTTATTAAGTTTCCTAGGCCTTCCTAAACAATTCAAAAGGACGTTGAACTGTATTTCTAAGTTCCTTCAGAAGTCAATGGAGCTGAG